GATTCCAAACAAACAAAATAAAGCTTAAATGTAAAAAGACAGTAAAGAGAAACATCCTCAAAGACGAAGGGGAAAGGAGAAGCCGAAAGAAGAAGGTTAGAAAGCACTGAAGAAGTGCCTTCTGGGATTTGTAGTAAATAATAAAGATTGGAGATACAGAAAAGGACAAGGACAGAAGAGTTGAAGATAAAGAGCAAGAGTACTTCTGTCCTACAAAAAATTGATACAGAACTTTAGGAAGAGGTAGTTTGCAGCTATATACTGTTTAGGGCAGGGGTTGGCAACCTATGGCCCACGTGGTGGATCCAGCCTGTCGAGGCCTTTGGACTGGCCCCTGCCGACCCCCGCCACCACCGCTGACAACCCCTGCCACTGCACCATTTCCCCCTCCTTGGCCTGCAGAAGACCTGGAGGCCAGCGGACCAGCCCCAGGTAAGAAAAACTTACCAACCCCTGGTTTAGGGCATTATTAAAGTTAGTGGTTGGAAAATCTAACAAATTTGGATATTGATTATCTAATAACTGCATACTATTTAAGCATATAGGTTTTAAATTCTAATTTAGTCAGAATGCAATGTTAGATTGACAAAAGGTCATGAATCTTGGCCAACTCTCCATTTTCCTTTGTGTAAGATAAACTACTTTGAATAATTAATTAACTCCAATTGTTGTTTGAATATATGAGAAGGGAGTTCTTTACCAAACTTGTATAATTTACTTCTACCCTTCTTCCTTTGTGTAAACTGAATTATAAGAGTAATTATAAGAGTAATTAATTAAGTCTAATAGTTTATTTAACATATAAAAAGGGAATATTTACTTGATTAACTGTCTGAAAAGTGAAGGTGATATGATTTGACTGATATAGATTTGATAAAGTATGGATCTGTATGGATGTATTAGGAATGACTTTACCAAACAAGTCATTAATTAACTGAGGTCACTACTATTAGAAATTGAATATTAGATTAATTGACAATAACAGAATTAACAATTGATTAATGGCAATAGTGACAAGATCACAAACAACAAAAATGCAGTCTCAACTACAGATGCAACAGCAGAGAAGACCATTGCTAAAATCTAGCAAAACTATAGATGCTAATATGATGGTTATGGAGGAGATAAAAAAGATAAGACAGGAAATGAAAAAATATATGTCAAAATTAAAACAAAAAAAGGATATGAAAGAAGGCATGAAAGAAATGAAAATATATCAAGCAAATATATTAGCAAAAAGATTTTTAAAAGTATTAATAAGATGTGAATACATCAAGATCAATGATGGTTTCTCCCAAATAGGTACATAAAGGATAATACTAGAAGCTTACTGGATGTAATCAAATACTTTAATAGAAAACCAGATAAACAAGTAGCATTGATTTTTCTCGACATTGAGAAAATGTTTGATAATATACGATGGAGATTTATGAAAGAGATTATTCTTAGAATAACTGGAGAAGGTAATTTTTATAACTGGATTGAGGCCCTCTATAAAAAACAAAAAGCACAAGTGATGATAAATGGAAAAAGAACAAAAATCTGTAGTATTCAAAAAGGCACACATCAGGGCTGCCCTTTATCACTATTATTATTTATCATAATGTTGGAGGTTTTGTGCAACTCCATCAGAAAAGATAAAGGCATTACAGGGATAAAAGTAAAGAATAACAAAACCAAATTAAGAGCATATGCTAATGATATGGTGATTTACCTCTCTCATCCTTTGGAAAATATTCAGAGATTGTTGGAACATCTAAAGGAATATAGTTTGTACTCTTGTTTAAAGTTAACAAAGAAAAGACTAAAGTACTGACTATGAATATGACTCACAAAGAAAAAGAACTATTTATATCAAGATCAGGATTTAAAATAGAAAAGAAAATAAGATATTTGAGAGTTATAGTGACAGCAAAAATTTCAGACCTTTTTAAAAATAATTAGGAAGAAAACTGGAGTAAAATCAAAACTAAGCTGGAAAAGTGGAAAGATTTACATTTATCGTTATTAGGCTGCATTTCAGTGCTAAAAATGTATGTATTACCTAAAAAAAATTTTTTTAGGTAATTCTTATTATAATGAATGAGAAACCATTCAAAGAATGGCAGAAGATCATAACAAAGTTCATTTGGGCAGGGAAAAAAACCCAGGTAAAAATCAAAATAATGCAGGATGATATTAGCAAATGTGGATTAGGATTACCAAACTTTAAACTGTACTACCATGTTAGTGGTCTAGAATGGATAAAAGATTGGCTTAGCTTACAAAATAGGAATTTGTTATCTCTAGAAGGTATAGACCAGGGGTAGGCAACCTTTCCCCTTTAAGGGCCGAGGGACTTCAGCTCCCAGAAGCCTCAGCCATGTTGGCCAACAATCCCATGTTGGCCAATAGCTCTTGGGATTCTGGGAGCTGAAGTCCCTCGGCCCTTAAAGGAGAAAGGTTGCCTACCCCTGGTATAGACAATGTCTATGGTTGTCATGGGTATCCATACTATGACAAAATTAAGGTAAATGGAGATTTTGAAAAATCTTTACATAAGAAAGGCTTTATACAAAATTTGGGAGAAATATAAGAATAGAATAAATCCCAAAATCCCTATAAGTGTGCCACCAAATGAAGCTCTATATACTTACAATGAAATGATAAAAAATAAAAGAGTAACATATAAGGAATTATTAATAGAAGAAAAAGGCAACTGGAGAATGAAAACAAGAGAAGAATTACAAGTAGAAAATATCATATGTAATTGGTTCTTATATCTCCAGCTAAAAGAAAGATTTAAATTAGATAAAGAAGTGTACAGAATAAAAAGAAAAGAAACAGAGGTGGAGAAGATACTTCTGAAAAAATCAGATCACCTTGTTTCAAAGATCTACAAAGTTCTATTAAAGTGGGAGATGGAGGAAGAACAGATAAAAGTATGTATGATTTGTTGGGCCCCAGACATAAGGAAATCAATTCAGATGGATGAATGGGAAGATTTATGGGAAGTTATACATTAAATTACAATATGAAAGAGAAATTTTAATAAGTTACAATACAGATGGTATTTAACACCAGACAGATTAGTCAAGATGAATAAGAAAAACAATAATAAGTGCTGGAAATGTAGAAAGGAGCTATGGTGGGAATGCCGTATAGCTAAGAATTTTTGGTCTAAGATTCATGAAGAAATACAAGAAATATTACAATTGAAATTTTAAAAAGAACCCAAAGTATTATTACTTGGGATTGTGAATAAAGAAATAACAAAAGATAAGGACAAAATTCTCTTTTATCTGTCACAGCAGCAAGAGTTGTATATGCCAGCTATTGGAAAAACAATAAAAATTTGCCAATAATTGAATGGTATTAGAACATTTTAGATTATGTGGAAATGGATAAGCTGACATGTTTAACTCAAAACAAATCACTTGAACGATTTAATGAACAATGGTGAGAGGTGGTGGAAAAGATACAATACAAATTAAGTTCAAAATAGATAAAATTTAATAACATATAAAATTAATAAATAATAAGAAATAGCTAATGTATCAATTAAATAGGGAGGGCACATATGAAAATATCTAATAATAATTAGAAATAAAATGAGTTTAACAAATACAAATATATTTGACTTAAATATATAGAAGCAGAGAATTATATGTGGAGATAAATATACATACACAGATATATATGAATATGATTTAAAGTATCGACATAATTGACAAAGCAAAGGTCAGAGTTTTTTTTTCCTTTTTTGATGAAAATAAGCTATGATTTAGATGCCTGGAAGTCTTTTTTAAACAAATTTATAAATAGATGTTTAGAATGATAATTTGTGTGTATAGTACAGCTATGTGTAATACTTTTTAGTAAATAAGTTATTGTTACATGTTTTAAATATTTTTGTATCTTATATGCTGTTATATGTTGTTTTTAAAATTGATATACCACTAAAGAATATTAAAAAAATTTCAACAGGGCTATCATATCACTTCTTCACCATCTCTTCTTCAGGCTAAACATAACCAGTTCCCTGAGTTGTTCCTCATAAGGCATGGTTTCCAGACCCTTCATCATTTTAGTCACCCTCCTCTGGACACACTCCAGTTTTTCAACATCCTTTTTGAATTGTGGTGCCCAGAACTGGACACAGTATTCCTATATATATCCCTAAGTGCAGTACCTTACATTTTTCTGTGTTGAAATTAATTTTGTTAGCTTTGGCCCAACTTTCAAATCTATTAAGGTCATTTTGAATTTTCATCCTGTCCTCTGAGGTATTAGCTACCGTATTTTTCGGCATATAAGACGCTCTGGCATATAAGACGCACCCAATTTTAAAGGAAGAAAATCTAGGAAAAAAAGATTCTTAACCAAATACTGTAGTAAAATATTTTATATCAACTGTATAAAGTTAACAGCAGTTTAAGAACAATTTTAAGTTGTAAATGTAAGTTTAAGCCAGCAGCAGGGCCAGGTTTTGCACAAATTCCCTGCCCATAGGCCTTTTTTCTTCGTAGCTTTGGATTTTACTGTAAAAGGAAATCAGCCTTCCATACAATAGCTAAAATGTACTTACATAGGAGATGAATCTTTTAAAAGTGGTTTACTTTAAGCATTAGTTGCTACAATATGTTCTATTGTTAGACAAATAGAGGCCAGCAGGATGAGGATTATGACTTTGTATATTCTGTTTTCATCTTCTTCAGCAGATCTTTAATAATAATGCACACACTAGAGAAACCTCAGGTTTTTGCCCCAAGAAAAATTATAAAAAAGCATTTAAAAAATCTAAGCAGACTGTACCTGCATAAAATCTGGAGGAGATGTGTATGATCATATAATTGCTTAACACCTCTTACTTTTTCAATTGTTGCTGATCAATAACCATAAGTGAAACTTTAAAAATCTGCACACTGTGGTTTTCTTTCTAACCTTCATGCATCTTATGGAGACCATCAACAATTACAACAATTAATGCATTATCTCATGCTGTTCAGGACATTTTGAGAGACAGCATGGTGTAGTGGGTTAAGCATTGGACTATAACTCTGGAGACCCAGGTTCAACTCCCTGCTTTGTCATGGTAACCCACTGGGCTAGTCACAGTCTCAGAGGAATGCAAAGACAAACTTCTAAACAAATCTTGCCAAGAAAACCTCACGATAGGTTCACCTTAGGGCAGGGGTAGGCAACCTAAGGCCCGGGGGCCGGATGCAGCCCCCCCAAGGCTTTTGGACCGCCCCCAGGCCAGTCCTGCCGCCGCTGCCCCCCACCGCCCACCATGATGATATTATTGTTATTATTTGTTATTGGGGTTTTCTTGGCAAAATCGCCACAGCAGTTTTGCCATGGCTTTTCTGGGGCTGAGAGAGTGTGCATGCAAATTTTTTATTTTTTTTATTTTTTTATTTTTTTATTTTTTTATTTTTTTTTGTTTATTTGTTTATTTATTTATTTTTAGTGCTTTGGCCCCCAAATTGTCAGAGGCACAGCAACCCGGCCCCCAGCTCAAAAAGGTTGCCTACCCCTGCCTTAGGGTCATTATAACTCAGAAATGACTTCAAGGCACACAACAACAGGGAGATTATTATTGCTTGGCATTTTAAATCCAATTAAGCCTCCCAGGCTGCAGCCAGGAGGCGAGATGGAGGTGGGGATTATCGCATGCTAAGTCACTACCAAGTCACTGGTCATCATCAGCCTGGGTCCCAGCTGAGCTCAGCTGCTGCTTTTTAGAAGTTGGAAAGCATTCTGGTTTCTAAAAAGGGTGGGCTGAGCCTGGCTGGGACCAGGGCTGATGGCGGCCAGCGATTCAGCAGCTATTTAGCATGCAATAATCCCTGTTTCCATCCCACCTCCCGGCTGCAGCCCAGGAGGCTTAATTCAATTTAAAACACCACACAATAGTCTCCCAATACAGAACAATCAATGGATTAGACTGACTTTCCCTAAAACATTTACACACTGTTTGAATTCCATTTTCAGAACTCCACCACCAAATAGTATACATGTTGCATGTCACAACTAGAATACAGTTGCCCCTCCATCTTCATGGGGATTCATTCCGGATCCCCCTGCAAAAAGGGAAAACCACAAATATTCAAGCCCATAGGCTTGAATAGGGATGCATGCCTGAGGGTGCTTGCAGGCGCACCTATTTTATCCCCCTCTATTTCCCACCTGCAAATGAGTGAGGGATGCAGACTTGAAGTCCATGAAAATGGAGGGATAACTGCCTATTGAATTACTTGTACAGAGGTATATGAATACACATGAAATAGAAGGTAAAACATAGGTGAATGTGTCATAAAGGCTCCATTCTGTGGTTTTATGTCTTCTCTTCCTCCTCTTCCTTTGTTTTCTTCCTTCTCTTTTCTCTAATCCATCCATAGTTGTACATCTGCCCATTCAGATTCAAATTATGTTTTCAATGCATTCAAACCTTACTGGCATACTTTTATTTTATCTGAGGTGGAATCAGGTACCATGATATTTAACTCAAAGAGTATCTCTCATGGAAATTCATTAACAAAAGGAGAATATGGAGAGCATGGGCATTTTGATCTCATAAATGTGTATCTGCACACTGATATGTAAAATATTTGCCTAACATTTCCCCTTCTAATTGCTTTTCTATGATAAAATATATGCCACTGTTTAACAGATGTCAGCCAGATTTTGGGGAAAAACACCCTGTTCTGTTTCTTTTTAAGTTAAGCGAGAACAAACTGCAGCTTAAGGAATGACCTACTTTGTATGCTGCTTGCTGTTCCCCATAGTCATAATTGCCTCATTTATTGTGTACGGACAAATGTTGACACCATATTTGTTTTTAGGGAAAAGAATGAGCTTTTTAATTTTGGTCTAGTTTCTTTTGAAACAAAATTATACTGAGGTTGTTCTAATTACATTAATTTGGAAGTAAGTAGATTTGAATAAAGTGAGCCAGCATAATGGTTTGAGCATTGGATGACAGATATGGAGACCAGGGTTCAAATCACTGCTCAGCCATGGAAATTCACTGGGTGCTATGTGAAAGTCTCCCAGCCTCAGTAGAAGGAAAAGACAACTTCCTCTGAACAAATCTTGCTAAGAAATCCCAATCATTCAGAATATTTTGGGGCAAACTTCCTGTGCAATCACCATTTAAATGAATACTGGTTCCATAGAATGGGTCCTTTGGAAATGATAAGAACAAAAGAAGAGTTATGCCAGATTAGAGCAAAAGTCTGGCATTTTGTTTATACAGTAGCCAAACAGATGCCTATGGGAAGTCCATATGAAGGATGTGGGAAAAACAACATATTCCAGCCTGTATACTTCTCGACACCTGTTATGCAGAGGCATGCTGTGTGTGTGTGTGTGTGCGCGCGCGCGCACGCATGCATGTGTGTGTCCATCTGACCAATAGCTGTCAACAGTCTTACACTTTCATTCTTGAATGCATCCAACTCACATTTAAAAGCATCCAAATTGGTGGTCATCTTTAGATCTTGTAGGATTGAATTCCACATTGTATTCATGGCTAGCATCTGGAGTTACTATTTATCTTGAGAAGGCATGATGTTTCTTAACAAAATATTTTATGCTCCTTTTGTTCATCTCACAAACACCCAATGATGTTAGTTATTATCCTTTAAATCATACAGGGGGAGCTAATGCTGGCAGAAGATAGAAGCATGCCCAAAACTACACACGGCTGATGAATGACCCCAACTTCCCAGGTCCTAATCTACTGAATTTTAAGTTCCTTTTCTCAACTTAGTTCAAATAAATTTGAGTGATTACCATTGCTGTTAGAAGCCATTTTCCTCTTTCTTGTCAAGCATCAGCCTTTTCTAAATAGAAACACATGTGTGGTGTCTCTAGCAAATTTTAATAGAACTATTATGATAACACTTTTGTCCTTCCTAGGCTAACCTCAACATCAATCAAAAACAAATACCCATAGTTACAAAACAAGTCTAATCTGAGGTGAACATGGCACAGGTCTTTTATTTAAATAAGTACAGCGCAATAAGAAAGTAAATATTAGTGTATGAAAGACAAACCCCTTTATATGCCAATACAATAGGAACAGGAGCCAAAGTAATGTCTGGGACATTAGTCAAAACTAAGGAGAACCTATAGGTAACAGAACAAGAGGGCACTATGCAAGGTTTTTCCATTCAGCTAATGACTCTTCATTGACCTGTTACAACCATTGAGGAAGCTCGAGAACAGCATGGTGAGTGTATTAATTTATTTAATTTATTTCACACTATTTCCCATTTTGGGACCCAAAAAGCTAAAAATTCACAACATACACAAGTTAAAAGTGTAATTAAACTATTACAAAATGAGGACTAGTTAAAAACATAAACCATTACAAACAATACAACAAATAGACAAAACAGCACATTATGTAAGGCCCATAGTGTGGACAAAGGTCTGCAATTAAAAAAAAGGTCTTTCCCTGCTTGGGGAAAGATAGCAAGGAAAGTGCCAATCAAACCTCTCTGGGAGGAGAGTTCCAAAACCTGGGAACAGCCAGTGATGTAGTTGTTTGAGTACTGGATCAGGACTCCAAAGGACCAGGGTTTGAATCCCTGCTCAGCCATGGACTCCCATTGGGTGGTGACCTTGGGCAAGTCACACTCTCCTCAGCCTAGGAAGAAGGCAATGCCAACTTCTTCTGAATAAATCTTTCCATGAAAACTGTATCCTAGGATCCACATAACTCAAAGTTGACTTGAATGCACATTTTAAAAACCAGTCAAGTTTTTTTAATTGAAGTAAACACTCTACACATAATGAAATATCAGTGAACCATAACATGTCAGGAACAAAGGTATATCTAATCCTGAAATGTTCATGAACTGGAAAATATCTTAGAAATACACATTTATGGAATCAAATTACTTGAAAGGGAGACAATGTACCAGTTATTTCATTACAGAAAATGAAACTGTTAAAATATTTTTGCTGCTGTTTAAGAATTTTAAGTTTATACATTCTGATTTTTTTTTAAAAAAAATTGATTTGGACTTCATTCTTTAACTGTCTGTTTTTTTTAAAAAAAGTTCTAGAAATGCTTTATTTGTGAATGTAACATCTTTTCTCTTTTACTAAAATTATTTTTGTTCTTGTGTGCTTTCAAGTTATTTCTAACGTATGGTAACTTATGACTTATGGCAGCCTTAAAGCAAAACTATCACAGGATTTTCTTGGCAAGAAGCTTTTTCAGAGAATTTGCCTTCCACTTGCCCAGTGGGTTTTTATGAGATTCAAACTCTGATCTCCTGGCCCATAGTCCAAAGTTCAAACCACTACATTGCACTAGACTATAATAGGGGAAAATAATAATAATAATAATAATAATAATAATAATAATAATAATAATAATAATAAATTTTATTTTTATCCCACCCCTCTGCATAGCAATCGGGGTGACTCACAACACTTAAAATACCATAGTTAAAATACATCCAGCTATCCCAATCCCTCCACCCATCCCTCCCACCCCTTAAGACCGAATAGGTATTTCATTCCTCATATGAAAAATGTTCTTAAACAGGGTGTACCTAAATGATCTTCCATAGTTTTATAATCAATTAGATGAAATCATAGTACATCGTATAGTTCTAGCCATCTCTTTTGGGCTAAAATGGCTAGGGGTCCAAAATCTAGTGAAAATACCCACTATGCTTTTGTGAAGGTATTTGTTGAGGCTGCTGGGGCCCTTGAGGACCTCAAAATGGCAATGGGGCCACATGTATCCCATGAGCCAAACTTTCCCCACTCCTGCCATATGCCATAATGCATAGAACCAGCCCACCACCACCTCACATACCACTAACATTTGAGAGTGAACCAAAGTTCACACATTAATATGTTAGTGAATTCCCTTCACAATGTTTTTTCTTCTCAGCAGAGGGCATGGAATCCTGTGTTCCTGCTTATTTACATTTGATTATGCATGTCTACACTGTGGTTGAGTTTCAACACTTTACATACCATATGCAAGTTTGTCGCTTTACATTAAGCATACTATCCCAGTTTCACAGGTGTTAACTGGGAAACCAAGCAGTATCAGCATGTG